TTACAAGTCTCATTATGGTCCATCTGCTCGGAGGATCGCCGCCAAACGTGCGCCTATATCTCTTTGAACCGAAACTACGGACTCCAGTGCGTGATAAGCGGCGGACAATCCAAATTCTTGTTTCAGTGTCTCAGTTATCCATTTTTGTTAAATGTAAAAGTCAATCTGCAAGATAGGGCCGGAGTAAAAATTGGTCGACTGGCGTAGCACCGTACATTTTTTGGTGAGACAAAATTTGGTATATGGTATTCTCTTTATATTCCTATATCATGTAGCGAAATCGGACGCATATAGCACAATTTTAAATTCTACTTGATTCTTTTCCTTTCCAGTAAACAAATCAAGAAGCAATTATTATAACGGGATAAGATGTTTGTAAGTTAAGGATGAAAATGAAATGAATGAAGTTGAATTGGACCGATACTTCCATTAGCACCATTTAAAGATAACCGAACTTCCTGGTGACTTTGTACCAATGTCTGAATGAAAATAATTTCCATTAATCAATTAGAAAATCAATTTAACCAGATTCATTGAATAGAAAAAAAGTTATTTAATTTTTTTTTGGTAGCGGCTTTCATTAGCAGTACGTACATACATATAATATATAAATGTATATATATACTGTGTATGTATAAATGAAATTATGAAAAGGGATACACAAAGCTTGCTTTGCACAACTAAGTCTGCCTTTTTGCGGTTTTACTAATTTCATATAGAAGATATGAAAGTATTTGTTGACGTAGAAAAATATATGTATGTAGTATCATAGAGAGGTGACACCTACTACTACTACAAAAAAATATTTTGTAAGCTATAATGTTTTCCGGATCAAAAATCTCACTATAGGTTCAAAATTCTCCGAGCCTCAACCCACTATCCACGGTTTACTTATGAATGCAATGAGAAGTTAATAACAATAAATATGACTTACATCGCTTTATGATGCTAATTTTACTACTCATGCTGAGCGCACACGCTGCACTCACAAACTGGCTTCAGCACACACACGCCCGAACACATACGAACGCTTTTAGAACCTTACCAATTATGGCTAGCCGTTGTAAATTGCCTAGTGAAGATTTTTACAATAATTGTAAAATTAAAAATCCTTTGCCGTCATAAGAAAGCACCACTTACATCTAACAGTTGGCTGCCGGAATGGCTACTTTGTATCGTGGAAGTATGGCTCGAGGTCATGTGTTGCTTAAATTGTAGTCAAACCGTAAGTAAAGCTATGACAGCTGTGGGCATTGGCAACTGAAAAAAAATTGCATGCAAATGAAAGAGAAAAAGTTGCGAGTAATTTCAGGTACAGAGTGTAGAAAGGTTAGGCCATGCACGCATTAGACACTTTAAAGATTAGAAGCGGCTAATATCTACAGATATTTGGTAGATTTGGTCTGAAACATCTCAATTGTCTAACGAGTTGTCCCATGTACGGTTTAAAAGGAGGTAAAATGGCAAATCATACAAGTAGTAGCTTAGAAACAAAAGTGAAGTTGACCTAAAAGGACATCTAAACACATAACGTCGATGAAAGCTCTGTGCTCCGTGATATGACCTCTTCTGACATAGCAATGAATAAAAGTTTTTGAAACTATCCAATTTCGTGGATTTTACACTTCAGAAATTCCATCTCTCCACCCGATCAGATCCTTATCTTTTGTTTGCATAACAGTAACTTAAAGAAGTTCATTTGGCAAAACCCTTACGAGGTATTTTTAAAAGTACCTTATTCTCAACAATAACTATATTATATAATATTATCATTGTTATTATTTTCATTCGTTCAGAGGCTAAGCAGAATCATAATCGATTAAAACTATTCAGTCTTTCAGAGGAAAAAATATTAATTTCAAAAACTCTTATTAATTCTGTGTGGACCAATTACCTTTGTCTACCAAAAATACTGCTTTTTTGACCACATTACGCACCCATCTAGATCATAGTCAAATTAGTGATTTAAGTGAACAGATTTGAATGGCATATTTTGCGACCTTCAAGGTGTTCATTTCTTCGGATACTTATATGGTATTACTTTTCGTATTAACGAGCCGAAAGGGTCTCAAAACTTCTTTTCGTCAACAAACTATCCTTTTGATTGCGTGTATGGCATAGAAATTTAATGAATTGCATGCAATAAGCACTTAAGGCTCAGCATAAAGCTCATCACACCTGTAAACAATGAGTTGTGAGCTCTAATCCAGTCACATTCCAAAGGAATACGCTTCAATTTGCTGCAAGTTGCAGTCACATTGTCTTCGCTTGTTGTAGCCTGAGGTGTAGTATAAATATGTATGTATCTGTATATGAATGTTTCCGTTTATTTTTGTATGTGGGTATGCGTGTATTGGGGCTGAGGTACCAATGGCGCTGACAAGCGCCATATAACTGAAAACATTTTTATGAGTTAAGAGTTTTGTGCCGTTTTAAACGCTTTTCGAATGCGAATGTAGCAACCACACTAACAAAACTCATTTACAGTATAGCAACAACGCGACTCAATTCAGCTCAGCTCGCTAAATCTCATCTTTGTAGCGCTACGAACAAAATATATGAATATGTATTGAATGTAAAAGCAAAATCAACAAGCAAACATCAAGCCACACGAATGCATGTTCAGATTGCGATGCGGTCTTCAATGGCCATCGGTGAACATAAAATTCGCAACATTGTTGATTTAGTATCCATCAGCAAAAAATATGTGAGTTTATTATGTACGCATCCACACAAAATCAATGATCTTTTGGCCAAAGGATGGAGCGTCACACATTGTCAGCATTCTAACAGCGCCCCGTAATTGCTGTTGCTCGCCAACGTCGTGCTGCACAAACCCTCTGCACAATAACGTCCAGTGCCGCCGCCACCACAGCCGCGCGAGCCAAAGTCAAGTGTAGACGCGCATTTTCATTTAGAAGATTAAATAGACCATAAACGCGAGAAATCGCCTTAAATACAACGGGCAATGGTCAGCAGACAGTCGACGCTTTGGTTAATGTGACAACAATGTTGCCAAATGCTACACGCTGCATGCGCAGCACACACGCACATGTACACCTTGAATGACGCTTGTGTATTTGTATGGCTATCGAATTGGTTATATTTTGTGTTCTCTGTTGGAGTGGAAGGCGGTACCGCTCGTTCACCACTCGTATATAATGGTTAGTAAAAATCATTTTAATGGTCGCATCTCGACTGAAAATGCAAATTTAAATCTTTTTCTTTCAAATTTGTACATGTACGCGTATGTCAATTACATATAAACACACACCCATATGCACATGCGCGCTTACACTTGCTGTACTTGCGCTTGGTTGAGCCAGGAGAGGGTAACGGCGATTAGTGGCAATGGTCGTTTCACTTTTTTATGCGTTCTTTGATTGATTGGAATAAACCTGTAAGAGGCGAGTAGTCTTGGTACACAAATTAACATTGCATACGAATATACATACACAGAGCATACATATATTTACAGGCACAGATGCAAAGCAATAATATACTAAGGCATAGCCAGTGATTGTTTGCGCTTGTAAAAGGAAACTACTTGAGTTTTATCTTTTATTTGTATTTCGCTAAGTTAGCTCTATGACTCCCAAGCCTCTTGATCTTGTCGCTTTGAACAAATTATCTCTTTCAATTGCAAAACTTTGGCCATTACAGATTTCTAGTTTATTACCCTAACATTTTCAGCTAACGGTAACAAGAGGAAACTTTACTTTATCGAAGTCATTCCTACAAAGCTGCACGTACGAGGTCAGTTTGATCACTCAGCCATGTTCCAATAGTCAAAATGGTGACTTTAAATGCAACCCTACTACTTAGCTTAATATAATATATTAAGATACATATTGCAGTAATTGCCGTTATTATTTTTGTTGTTGAACCAAAAATTAGTTGACGTACCGCAATTATCTATCTTTATCCATGTCAACCAACGGAAATTTCCGCAAATGGGTTATTTCGACGAAAAAGGTACATATATTTACTATACATATGAAAATAATACATATTACTTTCAGTTCCACAGGTGCATAAGAGTTTGTTAAAAAAGATATTCTTCGAAATGGCTAGGACCACACATACCTCAATCGAGATACAAGTCTTCTGTATAAGTTCGGTTTCGAACTCATTGTGTTTCCACTCAGCTGGCGAAAAGATTTCAATTAAGAAATCGTTGTTGAAAAAGTAGAGGTAGGGAATATTTTTTTAACGATATATTCTACATAAACCTTTGCACAGCACAAAAACAAAATATTAATGAGACACCAAAAATGCCTTTGTTGTAAAAATAAAAAGAGTAACCAAAAATTATTATCTAAATCAGGAGGCAGTCTTTAAAATATTAGAATAATTAACACTTTGTTATAAGAACTTTAAGATTAGTCTTTAAAGAACAGATTTCTACGCTATTAACTTATAATATTTGTTATAGCAGGGAATCGGAATAATATTATCGCCGAACTTTTTTCCAACTTCGAGGGAAACTGGTTTTTGAATTTTTTCCTACTTTTCATGTTGGCTGCTTTGTTTAAAGGTTTGCTTGAAGCTTTCCTCAAAATATACAATGTAAGAATTTAATAAGAAGTTTCAGTAAACTATGTTCATATTTATATACATCTATATACATACAAAACATGAAAACACTGCATGACCCTTCCCGCTTTATTAAATGAAATGCTAATAGTTTTTTTTCATCTTTGATATTTATTAGTAGGACATTGTTATAATTTACCACACTCAACTACCCACTCTTGGGTCAAATATAGTATATATATATATATATATGCATATATATATAAGTAATTGCATGTGCCACAAAACATTTACACACACACTTACACCACTAAAATTAGTATTTATGTACTATATACCATTTCTTATTAGTAAGTAATTAAATATTTATATAAGATTACTATAAAGTAGCTCATGCTTACCAATAATTAATATTTATACAATACATATGTTTATACAAAATTTTAGTTACTTTTAGTTGATTATTGCAATTGTTTTTGTTAGATATAATGTGTTTTTTCTTTTAAATAACTATCGTTTTGAAAATAACAATTCTTGCTTACAACTGCTTCACACTTAGACTGGATTAAAAATATTAAAGTGATTTCATATACATATATGTACATATACAGCGAATTGGTAGTCTTAACTATTGCAGGTTTCAATTGGAAATAATATACATTTATTTAAAATTACAGTTAATTATACTTTTTGGTAGAAGAAGCTAAGTCGAAATAGATTATATTTTTAAAACTTTATTTATAAATATTGAATATATATGTGCATATAATTTTTTCTCCTAGTACTTAAAGTAATTTTGTATATAGGAAATTTGTGTTAATAATGTTTTGTATATATATTTTTTAACATTTAACTAATTTTCAATTGTTACTGGACTGTTTCTGTTTATTTTTAAATTTTATTGGCCATTTAAACGAAATAGTCACACTCGTACATAGAAAGATTTTTTAAACTATCAACAACAACACTGTGCATTTTCAAAGGTAACCCAGTAACGAAAACGAGGTTGGCGAAGCGAATTCTTGAACTCAGACAAAGTACCGCTAATCGCTTGATATAAATAAACCATTTGCTATGTACTTGAATCCATTCCTCTTTACTTCTGGAATCACAGACAGACCATATAATGAATAATTACTAAAAATTAAGTAAAATTTTGGATTTATAGAGGGAGAAAACATAAATCTAACTTTCAGTAAGTACCAAAATACTTGGTTAAGTAAAAATGATCGTTAGGAAAAAACAAATCCTTGTTGCTGATGTTTGAAATAAAAATTCATAATCGAGTGAGCCGTTTGAATCATTTTAAAGTCATACACTTTTAGGAACGTCTAAATAAGCCTAAATTCTCTTAGATGAATCTGTAAAATAAAATATCGAAACGAAACTATTATAAATCTAGTTCTAAGATCACAAATCAAAAATATTAATAATTGAAAATCGACCATGTCATCACTAGTTTTACTCAGTTCACTTCACTTGTTTACAAATAATTTTACTAAAATTATTGATATTTAAATTTTTACGCCAAAAAGAGAATTAGTCTTGACCAGATTGCAAATGATGCACTAAAAAATTGTAGAATTAACATTTAATACCGCATACCGGATAAAAAAATAAAAGTCTCCCAACTTTGGGATTAAAAAATAAAATTTAATTTTTAATCCAAAACTTTTAATTGAAGAATTTGCAGCCATGGTCTCGACCAGTTCAAAAAATATTAGTGTGAGTTCTAAATGGAACTGTTCCAAGATTCAGATTTTCTACTGGGTATTTGAGTAATATTGTTGTTGTTGTTATTTTGTGTTATAACCAACATTAAGTAGCACGCGTACGCTCATTGTATTGTTTAACGATTTCGTTAATTACTTTGGTTTCAAATTGTTTGTTGCAATTTTTGCAAAGCGAACAAGCTCATTGAAATGCAAATCTATGTACATATTTATTTTGGTTCTTTTATCATTTTAGTGTTTTTTCAGAGCAGCGCTTAGCACTAAGCATGCAGCTTGCGTCCGCCAAGTTTCATGTTACGCTCATTATGAGGCGGACAGCGCATGTTTAGCGGGGCCTTACAATAGCCAAAGTAATTCTTACCTTCACTCACCGCCACGCCACTGCTATTATATACAAACATTGGCGGTACCAATGTGTCAATCACAAGCGCAACTCCGAGTCAACTTTGTCAAATTTAGTTGTAATGCAATCCGTGCGCGCAACGCCCTGCTTCACGCGATTAGAATGGAGCGTGTGACGCGCGCTTAGCGATCATGCTTGGTGAGTTGCAGTGGCGCTTTGATGCCAGTCGGCGACATTTCACTCACTTTATTGTTGTTGCTAGCGCTCGTGTTTTCCTTATGTTTGTTGCTGTTGCTGTAGGCATTATTTTGATCTGCGGCACAAGTGCGAGGCGTGCGAAGTACAACTTCCAACTCATCGTCGGAGTCGTCGTGCACGTTGATCTCCTCCTCTGAGTCCTCCGAAGAGTCGTCAACTGTCACTGACTGTTGTTGTTGGTGGTTATGTTGCTGTTGCTGTTGCTGTTGGTGTTGGTGTTGTTGTTTTAGCTCCTCGCCCATGCTTGCGGCATTCGCTGACAATGTCGCCGCCACTGCGTACTGGTGCACCAAATGCGCAAACGCCGCCGCCGAGGGTGAGCCGACCAGCGAACGGAAAGCGCTATGCTCACCGCCCATTGATAATGGCGCTGATGCTGTGGGCGATGTGCTGAGTTGCTGCTGCTGTTGCTGAGATGTCGCCAGCGTTGCCGCCAGCGTTATTGCCAACGGATGTTGTTGGTGTTGCGCGGCCGCCGAGCCTGCACTCTCTGCACTCGGTTCTGCCGCTGGGTGTTGCAATTGATCGCCCACTGCCGCTGCATAATGCGTTTTGGCAACGTACTGTTGTTGATGATGCTGGTGCTGTTGTTGTTGGCTGTAGTGATTCAACAACATTGTGGCCGCGTTTCTGTTCGGGGGATGATGCGAAGCATGGTGCGTCAAATGATGTCCGTGTGCGCGCAATTCCAATTCGCTCCCTGGTGAATTCACCACCGTCGTCGACGATGCTTGACCCCCATGCGTGTAGTGATGGTGGTGGTGGTGCGACTGCAGTTGGTCCGCGCCCGCACATGTAGAGGTGTTGCTGTTGCTGTGACAGCTGGACGTCGGTGAGACGGCCACGCCCATCGTCGCTGGCGGCGCGAGACTGTGACTGAGACTGTTGCTGTTGTTGTTGTTCCTTTCGGGAGACGGCTGTGAATGCGGAATATGTGGATGGCCGGATGGGCTGGAGCGCTGTTTCAACAGATTCATCCGCTGATGGCGGCGCCACTTCGCTCTTCTGTTGGAAAACCAAACCTGAATTGATCAATGCGGAAAGGACGATGTGGTTAGTTCAAAAATAAACGCGACTATAAATGCGAAAGCAACGGATAAGAAAACAAAATTTCAAATGAGCTCTTGGATGTGTGAGTGCAAACAAAAACGGAAGAACGGTTAAAAGTATTCAAGCACGTGGAGAATGAGTGATTTTAGCGCCATCGAGTGAAGATTATGTGGGAGAATGGATATAGATATTAATAGGGATAGATTAATGGATATGGATGAGTGTGGATCGTGGTGAAAGTGTGTAAGGATAAGCCGATTTTATTGTATGAAGGTTTGTGGGAATTTTAAAGAAAGTTTTGATTTCGATTAGGATATATCTGTGCCCAAAAAATAAGGTGACATTTGATTTTAAACTGCGCGCGTCGAAGGATTTGGAGAATTATTTTTTTTTTAGGTTGATAGTACTGTCAGTCAAATTTATGTCAAATTTCATGTCAAAATATTCATTGGTGTTTGAGATACGTGTCGTTTTGTGAGCTGCTAAAGTTGAGTTTTTCGTTTTTTGCGATGTCAAAATTTGTTGAGCAAAGAATTTGAATTAAATTTAGTTTACGGAATCAATTTTGAGCTGCAGATACGTTGAGGATGGTCTTTGGTGATGAGGCTATGTCTAAAAAAAATATTTACAAGTGGTATAGTGAGTTCCAAGTCGACCGTGAACGTGTCGAAGACGAAGAGCGTCCAGGGCGACCATCAACTTCAAGCGACGAAGCTCACGTTCAACAAATCAAAGATTTAGTGTTGAAAAAATCATCGATTAACAATTAGAGACCTTGCTGACGAAGTTGGCATATCGAAAGGCTCAGCCAATACCATTTTGAAGGATGTTTTGGGCCTCAAGCGCGTCAAATCTCGACTGGTACCGAAAACATTGAATTTTTTGGAAAAAAGGCGTCGTGTTGAAGTGTGTGAAACGATGCGTTCCAACCAGCAGGGTGTCATGAAACGCATTATAACTGGCGATGAGACTTGGATCTATGCTTACAACTCCGAAATAACCGATCAATCGAGCGAATATCGTGCCAAAAGAGAGCCGAGATCAAAAAAATCGCGCCAAAGTCTCTCAAAAATCAAGGTCATGTTGACTGTTTTCTTCGATTATCGTGGTGTTGTGCATTATGAATTCCTTCCAACCGGTCAAACAGTGAACAAGGAACATTATATGAACGTTAGGCGTCGTTTGCATAACGCTATCCGCCTAAAAAGGCCAAAATTGTGGAAAGACAATTCTTGGTTTTTGCACCACGATAATGCACCATCCCATACTACCCTCGTAATTCGTGATCATTTCGCCAAAAACTCAACCCATATCGTTCCGCAACCACCATATTCACCTGATCTGGCGCCGCGCGACTTCTTGCTGTTCACCAAGCTCAAAAGACCGCTCCGGGGACACCGTTTTTATACGATAGAGGAGATTCAAGCCGCAGCGAAGACGGAACTGAAAGCCATCCGGAAAGTGACTACAACCAGTGTTTCGAAGATTGGAAAATTCGTTGGCATAAGTGCATTTCATTGGGAGGGGATTACTATGAAGGGGATGAAATTGTTTTGGAAGAATAAATAAAGAATTTTCAAAATAAATACAATGTCACTTTATTTTTTGGGCACATTACTACTATTATACTTATTCATATATAAATATGAATATATATTTAGTATATAAACATGTATATGTAAGGCCGCAGCTATGTAGAAGTTCTAAATAGGGACATACATATATCCTTAAGAAAAAATGTTCGGGCACAATTTTATTGAAAATAATTAAAAAGAACTTATACTCACTTGCACTCGGGCTTCACTTAACGATGTACGGCTCGATAAACGCTCGCGTGTGCTCACACACGGATAATGACTCTTATCGAACTCCTTCTCCAACTCCTCTAACTGTTCTGGACTGAAAGTAGTGCGATTGCGACGAAATTTCGGTTCATCATCATCATCCAAGTAATCCGAGTCCACATGTCGACTATCATCGGGTGACTCCAGGGTGTCCCTACTACCCGAACCAGGTGATATTGGACGATTATTTGTTGTCAACAGACCACCCGTGTTACTGCTAACACACATATTACTATTTAAACCGCCACTGTTACCAGCACCAGACGGTGGTAGCGTTGTAAGCGTTGGACCCGTCGGTTGTGTGGGCCAAAAGTGTGCAGCTGAAGGTGCATTAGCTGCAGCAGCTGCCGCTGCGGCAGAGGGATGCCAAGTAAAGCCGCCATATGGATGCGGTGGATAGAGACTGTAGGCGGCGGTGCGTGCAAATTCACTGGCCACACGCTCGGCGGCTCGATTTCGTAATATACGATTAATGGAAGAAACCGAAGGTGCGGTGGTATTGGTGCACACAGCTGGAAGAAAATATGGGTTTAAATTTTGATTTAAATATTGCTAAAATTGCCAAAAGGCAAACACATACTCTCTTGTATTGACACTCTTTGGATAACTTTGCTTTGATGTAAAAACTTGGTCAAAGGAATAAAGCTCAACCACAGCGAGGAGAAAAGTGGCGAATAGATTATCACAATGATTTCAGGGTTCACTTATATTTCAAAGGGGATTAAGGATCCTTCGGAATAAAGTCCTATTAGTTTTAACCTTAGAGAAAGAGTATTTAACATTATAAACCTATCGCAATATATAGCAACTCAGTATATATATTTATGAGGAAATAACTCTTACACAAAGTTAACTTAGCAAAATCGAACATTACTTTTGCTTAACTTGAGGCTCGATTCAAAAGATAGCCATAGCTTTATAATCATACATGTATGTATGCCTATCACTATTAAAATCACTACCGCAGTAATTTATGAGTCTTTAAACTACTTTGCAACAAAGACGCCTCAACTATATAAAGTCGCTTGTCAAAGTAGAGCCGCAAAAGTGGGCTTAAAGTCATCATTAATCGTGATGGACAATCAATCAAGTAGCGAGCAACGTGCAAACAAACGCCAACCGATTAAAATCGAATAGCTTGGGGTAAGCGGGAAGCACATCTATATTTATATTGGTCATACGTACTATAAACTTGTTGCTTACGCGGCATTTTATAGTCTACTGTATCGTATGCATATCGGTTTTATATAGCATTTAATCAGCGCGATCGTTCTAATTGGTGTTTACGATCTTGCACCCAAATGCGTGGCAAACAATGTGCATATATATAGTTGAATGTGCTTTTTGTACATACCTTCCGAAATCAACCGTTCACGTATTTCCCATGCGAATATTGTTGGATTTTCGCGCTTGTACTGTTCGATCTTCGAGACAACTGTTGGTGTGGCGACTTTTGGTTTAGAGCCTCCAATTAGACCAGGTGGACGCAGTGAACCTACAAGTGGTAAAATAAGAAAGAAAATGAATTATTGCATATCTTATAAATTGCAGCGAAAGTGACGGAAATACACTCTTAAATATACGCAAAAAAAAAGTTATATATATTCTCTAAAAAAAGCAACACCACAATGCCAAAAGCTTTAAGAGGTTTGGTCAGGATAGGACTCTTAAAAATTTTAAGATACTTTTTGTTACCCTAGCATATGCCCAGTGTGTCACACCCAAAAGGAAAATTCGGAAACCCTATAAAGTATATATAAATAATAAATATTAAAAGCTGACGAGAACTAGTACCGCAGTTTTTGGATCTCGATCTAAAACTACCGACCAAAGACAAGATAAATATGTAGATGATTTTTTTATTTAGTCTAGTTTAGGTCTTTTCCTTAACTACAATCCAGACATCCTAAACAGGTTGATAGTATGTGTCAACACTGACCGTTACACGCAACAGCACTCATTTAAAACTCATGTGATGTAGTGGTAATGGGTGAATTCAATTAGAATGCACTGTCAATAAATATTTAATGCCAAAAAGAAGCACTCACAGTAAAGATCAATGCATTGTATATCTTTTGTACCACACACAGTATTATATATGAACGCACTTTAAAGCCATCATCACCAACTGCGAACCCTTTCGTAATGCATTTGAAACATTATCAATCATCTTTCAACAACAACAACAACAACAAATCACACACCTCATTGCCACATTACTACTATTTTTCTTGAGACCATGTCGTCGGATTTGCTCAGCGTATTCGTTACCTGGCTACCGATTTGCTGCTACGATGATCGTTATTAAGCATATAAAAGTTGGTAAATGCTTATATACATATGTATATAAACATATATGTATATATAAATTAGTGTATGGCTATGTATAACATTAAATAGCACTTGTGTGAATATAATAGCTTTATCAACAATTCGCAATCGGCAAGGCGAGTATTTTGTACCTACAAACCGCCAAATAGACAGACAGACGGACAGGCTGCGACGGAAACCGAGCATCAAGCGCTGCCAACTGTTTCTGTGTGTTTGTATAATATACATATGTGTAATTGCACCATTAACTCATCGCATGCAAGAAATAAGCAGCGGTTACGCTGCACTTATTATTGCAATCGCACAAGTTACAGGAAATTTTTTATTCACATATAGACACAAGTAGATATGAATATATAAATATATATGTTCGTATGTGTATCAAAAGTTTAGCAATATGGTATCAATGGTGTTGCAGATCTCAACATCATTCCACCGATATTGCAGTGACAGGTGAAATTTGAAAAGTTATCTTGCTAAGCATCTATATTTAGAACCAGACTAATTTGTCACTGACAGAGGTCCTTTACCAAATAGTATAGCGATAACTTCACACGGTATCACTAGCGATAGACCAATCATCACTCAATCTGACTAAAACAACACAATAACAACACAAATAAACGTAACCAAAACATGACTGCGCTTATGCAAGTACTGTGAGCTTACTTAACTACTTTGGATCACGCAAGGCTTCAAATGTGCATAGTCAATACTCATGATCAATAATCTAAATTCTACTGAAATATATGAAAGAATAAAATATTAAAATATATAAAAGTATGTATATATAGAAAAGTCCTAACATCGACTCGGACCACTATCTTCTTGCAGCCAAGATTCGCACCCGCCTCTGTGCAGCAAAAAATGCACGCCATCAAACACAAGGAAGGTTCGACGTCGAGAAACTGCAATCACAACAGACAGCCGAACGATTTTCTACTCGGCTTGCTCCTGATAAGGAGCATGCATCAGCTTCTTTGCAAAATATAGTCGGACGAAAGCATGCCCAATGATTGGAATTTTATTATTCATCGGCCTCAACACCCGCGCCGCTACTTCTGCTTTCTCCAGACTGGACAAGGAAGCAAAACAAATGGCTCTGGCAGCTCGGGCAAGACGAAATATCTCCTGTCATCAAACAAATAGTCGTCGCACTCGCTACTTGGCTCCCACGTCACTGGTGACAGTCATAACTTTGAAGTCGTAGATAATTTCGTCTATCTTTGAACCAGCGTAAACACCACCAACAATGTCAGCCTGGAAATCCAACGCAGGATAACTCTTGCCAACAGGTGCTACTTCGGACTGAGTAGGCAATTGAGAAGCAAAGTCCTCTCTCGACGAACAAAACCCAAACTCTATAAGTCACTCATAATCATAATCAAGTCCTGCTATAGGCTTGGACGATGACAACAACTGATGAGTCGACGTTGCGAGTTATATGACGACATTGACATAGTTCAGCGAAGTAAAAGACATTGGCTACGCTGGCTAGGTCATGTTGTTCGAATGGACAAAAACACTCCAGCTCTAAAGGTATTCGACGCTTTATCCGCCGGGGGAAGCAGAGGAAGAGGAAGACCTCCACTCCGTTGGAAACCCATGTGGAGAAGGACCTGACTTCGTTTGACATTCCCAGGTGGCACCACGTTGCGTAGAAGAAACGACTAACTCGGCTATAACCGCGTAAGCGGTGTCTACGCCAATTAAGAAGAAGAAGATATATACAAAAGTTTAATTAAATAAGCATCTGCCCGTAGTGCGTATAAGTTATTTGGAATTTTAGCAACACTACCATAGAAGATACTTGACGTAAGCAGATTTGTTCGCAAAAATTGAATATATAAGAACAGATACGAGTATAAATATACCCACTACAATTACAATTTTGACTTAAACTAGTCCAAGTTCAAGCGCTAATATCTTTTAAGCGGTTAGATCTACAAAAGATCGTCATACACTTTGTTTTAATAGCATTCAATTTCCTATAAAATTCACAAAACAAAATATGTTTTCAAGTAGATTTAAGCGAAATATGAATCTTTCTCTCTGATAATAAGAAATAATCATTGGGCGAAAAACATACGAAAGGCACGTGTTCAAAATTTGTATAGTATATTCTCTATGTATGGTGGCAAACCATACATTAAAAATATATATTAACATTTCAATTTTTAGTATCTGAAATACGAGATCCACCAAATCTGACTATTGCAATATGAAAATAAGCTATGTAAGTTCTTCGAAAACTCCGAAATGGCTGAGCTGATTGCAATCAAATTTTTGGACGATTTTCAAGATGGCCCAGGGAATATTTCTGTATAGTTTGTTGGCGATCGAAATTTGTAGTGTGTTCTTAAATGAATTATCGATGCGCTTTCCTCTTTAGGGAATTTCAAACTCTCCATTTTTTTGCTTTCAATAATTAGATCGAAGCAGTTAAACGATAATTGACAAAGAGGGGTCAGGGGACGATATGCAGCATAATTATTTAAGTTTGTTTTTTATTAATAGTTTTCATTTAAGAAATTTAAAATTGGTATAAATATATCAATATTTTTATTTTTACGTGATTGTTATTATTATGCGTAAATAAGCTCTAAGGTATCAGTATTTCTCAATTGAAATTAAGCATTATAATAACAGAATAAAACTCCTCTGTCCATGGAAATATCGGCGAGTTGGCATTTTCAAAGAGTCGAGTTTATATAAAATGGGAGAGAGAACCTTTAAAATCATATACTTATATGAACACACTAAATGGAGTATGCTTAGAACGTATAGAAGTAAAAAATTAGTTCAAATAAATAGCAATTTTATAATGTAATAGTTTTCACCAATATTTAACATGAGGAGGTCGAAAATAGCAGAATTGAGCATTTTCATTGTTAAATGAGAAAAGTGATACTAATTTCAATTTTCAGATTGGCATATTTACAATGCGCAAACGACTATGGATATCATTTACAGATATTATGAAAGATATAAGTATGTATTTGATATCAAAGCACATAAGTAAACATATATGTATGTATATGCATATGTGCAGTTTAATCCTTTTAATGATGAATTCCATTAAATCTGTTGAAATGTATAATAATATCATAATTTGTATTATTACCTAAATATTTAATTAATATAGGTATGATAAGTTATATATTTATGTATGAATTTATTTTCTTTGGGCATTCGAAGTTTTGATAACATCTTATAACCAAGCCGTCTCACAGATTCACATACATATGCATATAATTGCGTGTACATGTAAAAAGATTCTAAAAAACCATATGCATAATGTTCATATTTAGCACATATTTATGTATGTATTTTTGCGTGCATGTAAACAATTTTGAAATAATCATACGGATAATGTTTGTAAATCTGTCTCCACACAACTTTGTATGTATGTAAATATATACACCAGACGACAAAGCGTCACATCTTTATATTGTTGGTAGAAAATCCGAGCTGTGCGGTAAAAATAAACGAACGGCCACCGATTGTCAACGCTTCTCTTGCCGTTTATGTTTATGCGTGAGCTTGCATACATATCGATGCAAATTTTTCGGAGCCGCATAAAAATATTTCAGAATTACAAAATATTTTTTACATTTCTTGACAAATACAGTCAATCCCGGTTATACATATATATGCCACAATCAAAGATCCAGATTTTTGAGGGTTGTTAAAAAATATACAATGGTACATAAGCGACTGCGGATATTTAAACGAGTCGTACTTAAGACAATAATTTCTATGATATATGTCAAACAACAAACCGTGAGATGCAGCAAGATATAATACGGATATAGGCTGTTAAAAGTCATGAGAGAGGGATTTGATTTTCATATAAGCGGAGTACTACTTAGCCGGGATTGAATGTACACATGAATCAGAGGAATATTGAATATAATATTTTCGTTGAAACATTTCTTGACTTGAAAATCGACAAATAAACTATGTTGTCAATTTTATTTCTATATATTTTAATAATCTTTTTTGCGGGGTTGTCACTTTTTCCTTCTCACACATTTCAGAAATATGTTCAATTTATGACTTTTAGCTTTTGAAACCATTGCAAAGAGACGCTTCTAGGCAAGGCATGCTCGTGGAGATGCAATAGCGTCTGCTTTTATGAATGAATATAATATGCTTTTTGCAAGTACGTTTGCGTTCATGAATGAAACTTTTGTTTTTGTGTAATTTACTATAAATTTTGACGTCGGCAATTTGGCTGCCATATTGATTTCTGATGCTATTTCAGACGATTATTGTTTTTATAAACAGTATTTGTAATTTTTGCGGGAGACATATGTATTTACATGCGAAGGCATATATAGTAAGTATAGATGCGTATGAAAGTTTTAAATGATAAAAGGTGTGATTTATATATATTTTTGTTGTAATATATTAAGTTTTTTTTGATATTATGATAATATATAATTTATGTACATACATATGTATATAGCAAATATGTGCAGACATATGAAATTATATTACATTATCAAAGATAAGAAATATTTGAAAAGTAGCTCATTTGCCCATTAACTACAAAAATTGCTTGGAGAATTCCATAAATTAAAAATAATGTTATCAATTTTGCATGAATTCAAAAAAATTCGCATAGATTGCACTGAGGGACAGTCTGTTGGACAGACAGACAATCACTTAGATTTCAACCCGTCTCATCGTCCTTATCATTTATATATGAATATATAAGTAGATATATTATATAAAACTCAATTATTTTTAGGTTAGGTTTAGGTTACGTTAGGTAAGCACCCACATCTTTAAATCACTGTCTCTAATTACACAATAACATTAATAACTCTCTTCGATTCGCCAAGCGTTGAAAACAAGCGAGTCGAACCTATATCAGATGTTCAAACTAGCGGACATCACTTGTCGTGCAACTCCGCGCTGACATGTCCTCTGACGTATACACAATTGTGTTACGATTCTTTCTTTTTTTGTTCCGTGCCAAATATATATGAAAATATTTATAGATGATTGAAAGTTTTAATAACTGCAATTTGCCATTTGAGATTTGCACAATATTAGAACTAATACGAATAATGAAAAACAAAACTTGGTAGAATTGAAAATAGCGATTACACTACTTTATTGAGATATCAGGATACTCTCTAATACAAATTCATCTCGATAACTTTCTTGTTGCTTTTAGTTGTAATTCTTTTGGCAAGGGAGTAAATCACAAATCTCCGAATATATTGTTCAGATCGGACCACTATAGCATATAGCCGTCATTCAAACTGACCAATCCAAATCAAAATAAAAAATTATCATAAAAAATTAAAACTTATTATTTTCAGCCTCAATTTTTTTTGCAATCCAAAACTGTTCTAGTCAAAGCTAATCTTAAATTTTACTCACCCAGTAATTTCGAGACAGCACCCTGCTGCGACAACATATGCTGAGCTATATCGTAACCGCGTAGACCGCCAAATCTCGACAACTCGAGTAAACGCTGTTGGGACATGAGCGCATTCAAAGTGGTAGGCGATGGTGAGCCACCGGCTCCGAAGATTGCAGCACCCGGTATTTGCACAGAGGGTGACAGGCCGACTGAAATGGTAAATTGAATTGTAAAATGAAATATTTGATATTTATTTATTTATTTTTTGTAAACGTACCTATTAAAAACAAAAGTTATCTAAAAAAAAAAAATAATTTATAAATTGGAATTGTTAAGCCGTCTAACTATACCTTTGCTCTTCGGAAGTGCTATTGTGTGCTTATTCATTGACAATGCTAATGTTTACCTACGATTGAACTAATTTCTCAATATGTACCGAGGGCGATGCAGTTCCTCCAACTTTGCACTCCACGTCGAATTCGTAATGGCTATTAAGACTAAAATATTATCGGCGCGCCAATTCGTATCAAACTTTATGCTTAATTACGAGTGACTAATTTGTTTTAACATGACTAACTGTGTTAAATAAATAGCGATAAGTTTGTTTTGCCGTTAAGCAACGCAGCAAAATAATTTGAACAACATAACTAACGAAATGAAGCTTTCACTGCGCGACGAGGCAGTGCGCGGTGTGGCAGGGTACATGAGCCGCCGTTTGTTGCCGTCACAACCGCACGGCACACCGTTGTCGCCTAAGCTAGTTGAAATAAATTAAGACATTTATACAGGTGTGCTACATAAGCAGATCATGATATTTATTACGGTTTAATTGTTTTCCAACACGAGCATTTCAAGCGATTGTGTACACCTAATATATACCGAAATATTTTCGTCTGTTCAATTCAACATTTACAATTATGATCTACGTACATACATATGTACATAGTATGAGCAAATACACGAGCGCACATTGCAAACAGTGCACACAATGCGAACAATAGGCACGTTTTGCCAAACAAATATTGAATTAAATATTTAATTAACAATAACCATGGAAAAACATTTATAAAACATAACAAAAACCGAATAACAGTAACCAAAAAAATTTAAAGCAATATATAAAATGCTAAAAATAAAAATATTGTTTTATAAATATGCTAAAGAAATTTTTCAAAAAGCTATCAGGGCTTCATTTATAGTCCAGCGAATTCTACCGTTTTTCACCCTAACCAAATTTACACACGTACATATATTAAGACTCTGCTCACATATGTATGTAAATCATTCTAATCAGAGTTCATCAACTTTCATACAATTAATGAACATAACTACGCCGTTTATTATCGGCTTAGCCATTGCATAAGGGCATTCTAACGTAATTCTTTCAGTAGAAAAAAGTTGAAAGTTTTTCAAAAATAAGACGAATAGTAAAAAAATAAATATTTTTTCGTGAATATGTTTTTATTGTACTTAACTCGGCAATTATTTGAAAATTTTGCGTTTATCCAATGTTCCCTAAATGTAAATGAAGAATTTCATTTGTACAATCGTAATTATATAATATTTGTTTAAAAAATTGAATGAGAAATGAGACGTAAAATAAGAAAGGAGATAAACAAAAATAAGATTATAAATGAATTTTCAGGAATCCTCATTAAAATTAGTATCATGTAGACTATATTTAGCATAAAAGCTCATAAGCTATATAAAATCATTGATATTGTACTTCCAATGCAACAAAACTGAAAATTAGTATAATTAGGTTATAGTTCTTTAACTATAAAAAATATGATAACATATTGAAAGTCTGAGCAATAAGCATATGAAATGAATTGTCAAGGAAGTTTTAAACTATTTCTTAACATGGTTCGATGTCTTAGTAATTATATTTTTGTTTAAATAAATTAAATTACTCAAGTTCGAATCAAGTTTTACAAGAAACTAATTTATCTCTTAAAGCAATGAAACTTTTCGCTATTTAGAATAGTTCTGAGATTACAATTTTGAAAGAAAGTGCATTTTGGCAACATTCCTAAAAAATTATTCAAAGATAGAACGGAATTATAAAAAATCTTCATTTAAAACATCGAAAAAGTTTAAATTTTCATCACTTTCGTATACGACAAATAATTCATTTAAAATAATTTGAGAACACAAATAAAACATATATATGTATATATAAGTGCTTTATTTATAAATGAAAATTTTATATTTCTCTGTTGAAAAAATATATTTTCCTTACACTTTCTTTAATTTTCAAATATTGTTTGTCAAAAAAGTCTTGCGGTATTTTCGCTAGTTGTCTCAGCGCCAGCGTACTTCTAGTTTTATTCATCGTATCGGGTCCTGCTATACCTTTTTGGAAAGCTCATTTCACGCGCTAACACGTGTTTAATTGATTGTCGTTTCTTTTAAGTCGTTCGTGAGTTATAGCGTCGCAAACATGGAGCAAAATAAAGAGAAAATACGGCATATTTTACAGTACT